TGTGTGTGTGTGTGTGTGTGTGTGTGTGTGTGTGTGCATGCACAAGAATGTGTGTGGATTGGGGGATGATTCTTATAAATATTCCACCTATTCTTCCTGTTGGTTTCCCTACTCTACCTGCTAGAGCTCAATATAATCTGCTCCATTCAAGGACAAGTCAACAACAACAACATAATGACAAGGCCCTTGAAAAGATGTTATAGTGAAGGGAAAGAGTTATTAAACCAAAGATTTAGATGAAGAATTTGTTTCATCATAAAATGATCTAAATCATAAAAGAAAAGGACTTCTTTTATGAAGCAGAGTAAATTTTAGAAAATACATGCTCGGTATACTCAAAAAGCACAGGAAGACAACATAGCTTATGAAATAAGAATCATGAAGCAAAAAAGAGAGACCAACCTAAGATAAAGGCAGGAATGCAAGAAAGCTAGTTCCAATAAGAAAGCAATGCAAGGAAATGTAAAATGCAATAGCAGATTCAAATATGCATCAGGATAGAGGCAATAAGAAGCAGAAAATAAATCTCAGGTGGAGAACAACAACCTTCCAAAGATACAGAGAAAAAGAAAAAAGACATCAAAACTATCAGGGAAAAGATTAATGTGGTTGAGAAACAGAAACTAACCAAAAATAATAAAAAGTAATCCTGAAAAAGGAATCTGAAGCAATAAATGAAGGTATAATTGAAGAAAACCATTTTAAGCTAGACAAAGACTAGTATGAAGATAAAAAGAGCTCACTGAATTCCAGGAAAAATCACTCACATACTAGCAAAGTTAAAAAACATAATGGTATTGAAGAATATCTTCTGAGCATCTCTGCAGAAAAGAAAAAAGAACATGGGGGTGCCTGGGTGGCTCAGTAGGTTAAGCTTCCGACTTTGGCTCAGGTCATGATCTCATGGTTCGTGGGTTCAAGCCCCATGTCAGGCTCTGTACTGACAGCTCAGAGCCTGGAGCCTGCTTTGGATTCTGTGTCTCCCTGCCCCTCCCCCCCATTTGCGCTCTGTCTCTCTGTCTCTCTCTGTCTCTCTCTCTTTCTCAAAAATAAATAAACATTAAAAAAAAAAAAAAAAGAAATGTCCCAGAGAAAACCTTTCTCTTAGGCTTGAGTCCAATCAAGTCACAGGTCAAAACAAAACAAAATACCATGCTTAGGAAAACTGAAAGGAAATATATCAGAATATTAAATATTTGTTGCTTCTTGCTGGCAGGACTATGGTGATTTTCTCCCATCTTTCTATTTGTATGTTTCCTATAATTATCATATCACGTCAAACTTGACTGGGTATCTGAGTGATTTTTAAATACACAATTTAATGTCAATTATATCAGAACCATGATCACTGTCTGAGAGACATTTTCTAAATTTCAACTTGTCTATATTCTATTCGATATATCAATTCACTGTGACCTGTGGATACAGTATGCAGCTAAGTCACCCGTGAGTGTAAGTTTTCAGGACCACGTTTTTCGTAAGTACAATACTGACCTTTTTCCATGATGTAAGGCAACCATTAATAAAACTTTTCTTTAGCCTAATTTTTTTTCACCTATGACAGTTCTCAATTGTGAGCATGTATAAGAATCACCTGAGGTGTTCATTAAAATATAGATTCCTAAACTCCATCCTATACTTGCTTCAACCAGGACTTGGGTGGAGCTTAGGAGACTTTAAAATAAGCACCTTAGCTTTAAAATTCATATTTATTTCAATTCCAGTGTAGTTAGTATACAGTGTTATGTTAATTTCAGGTGAACAATATAGTGATTCAACAATTCCATACCTTACTCAGTGCTCATCAAGATAATTGTACTCTTCTGTATTATGTTAAAGTGAAATAAGTCAGAGGAAGAAAAATATCATATGATTTCACATGTATGTGGAATTTTAAGAAACAAAACAGATGAACGTAGGGGAAGGGAAGCAAAAATAAGATAAAAACAGAGAGGGAGACAAACCATAAGAGACTCTTAAATACAGAGAACAAACTAAGGGTTGCTGGTGGGGTGTTGGGTGCGGGGATGGGCTAAATGGGTGATGGGCATCAAGGAGGGCACTTGTTGGGAGGAGAACTGGGAGGAGCACTGGGTGTTATATGTAACTGATGAATCACTACATCCTATCCTGAAATCATTATTACACTGTATGTTAACTAACTTGGATTTAAATTAAAAAAAAAGATAATTGTATTCTTCATCCCCTTCACCTACTTCACCCATTCCCTCACCCATCTCCCCTCTGATAACGATCAGTTTGTTCTCTATAGTGAAGATTCTGTGCTTTGGTTTGTCTCTTTTTTCCCTCTTTGTTCATTTGTTTTATTTCTTAAATTCCACATATGAGTGAAATCATATGGTATTTATTTTTTTCTCTGACAGGCTTATTTTGCTTAGCATTATACCCTCTAGATCCAGCCATGTTGTTGCAAATGGTAAGATTTAATTCTTTTTTATGGATGAATAATATTCCACTGTGTGTGTGTGTGTGTGTGTGTGTGTGTGTGTGTGTGTGTGTATGTGTGTGTGTGTATACGCACCATATCTTCTTTATGCAATGGGCACTTGGGCTGTGTTCATAATTGCCTCCTTAAGTAATTTAGAGGAGAATACTTTATGAAGAAAGAGACCCTTGGATAGAAGAAGTAATCACTAGTTAAACCAGATGCAAGCCCCTCTGTGAAGTAAAATATGGTTTAATATGGCCAAAGAGACCCATTTTACAGAAGCAAACCAGTCCTGGAGAAGCCTAGTCATGTCAACATTGTCTAGAATTGGGCTAGAACTGACCCTAACTAGAATAGGATGCTGGCTTTAGAACATCCAAAGTAGGTTCTCTGGGGGGAATTAATCAGATAGAAGGCAACAACACTGAATTGTCCCATAGACCTATAACATCAGTAAATACTAATTGTGAGCTATTGTGGACACTGGAATTATAGGGATATGTTTGACATGTCATATTTGATGGATGTCAGTTTCCTTTCTTTCTTTTGTTATTTTATGGCCTGTCTTCTTGTGAAAGGTAGGTGGGTAGAAGAATCATCAGTCAAATTGATTAGGTACTGAAGAAAACAATGAAGTTTCTGGGTAGGAGCTGAAGTCAATAGAGGTGTGGGACTCCTAAAAGGAAATTGTATGTTTCATCCTGCTGGCTCCTCTGTTTGGCACAAGGGATCTGATTTTGTACTTATTGTCTCATAAAGCTAATGCCAATCCTACAGTAAAAATGATTTATGTTGAACCTGAGATTTCTCACTGTAAAAATTCCTCTTAGTCCTGGTCCTTTTACAGCTAACAGCGGGTTCTCAGTCCTTAATTACTCCAGGCTGGCATGTAGCTGCAGGTATCTGAAGGCCTTTAGATGGTAGGATTAGTTTCTAATCCAATACTAACCATGCTTGAAAGCATTTATTTGCCTCATTCCCACCACAGTGGGGTCCCCTGTCTTGCTGCTTTAAGACACTCTCCTGAGAGTAACTTGCATTGTCCACAGACTCCTTCTTAGAGCCCTGCACTAGTCCACCAAACTGGACCTGTGAGGCAGGGCTGGCTCACAAGTGTGACCCATGCACTTGCACAAGGTCTTTTGCTTACAATGGCCTCACACTTAGATTAATGCTCTTTGGTTGTCATTTGAAATTTTTAGTAATTTTACCTTTGAATTGTTTTTTTAATCAAAATCAAAAGGGACTCCAGGGGGACAACAGAGAGTGCATGCGAGTAGAGATACGCACAATATGTGTTTCCCATCCCTTGCTCTCAAGTTCTCATGAACATTCCTGACGCCCCATCATGAGTGTAGAATTCTAAGGGACCTATGTGTGAAGGAGTCATGTGATTGAGTGTTGTGGGGGGAGGGAGGACTCTGGCAGCAATGAGAGACCATGCTTTCCCTTGAACTACAACTTGCTTCAGATACTGAAAGAAGGTGATAGCATTCAAAGAGATGTGAATAATCAAGGAAACTTTCTTACTCATGTTACTTTCCTGTATTAGCTAAACATTTAGGCTGAAAAGGATGATGTAGAGGTAAAGGAAAAAACAGGGCAACCCAGAGTTCCCTACTTTCAGTCTTCCCTTAATCATTAGAAAGCTGGAGAGTGTTGATAGAATATATGTGCATATTAAGAAGCAAAATAAAAAGCTGAGCTAGTTTTATGCATGGAACTGATACAGTATTCTGTTAAGAATGAAATGCATATGCATGTACAAGCTGCAAAATACAAACTGTATAATTTTGGTGACTCTGCACATGAGTTAAATGCTCTTATATTTCCATTTAAATATGGCATTGTACGACATAAAGATGAACAGTAAAATCCATGCTAATGAATAAAATTTAAAATTTTTATTTAGTTAAAATGAGATTAAATAGCAAACCAAAAGCACCATGACAAATTGAGAGAGAGTCTGTGGAAGAAAAGGAAAAGCTTAATATTTTAGTACATTTAAAGGCACATTTTCCTGCTTTTTGAACTACGAGACTCACATTTTACATAGCTGGCCCTGCTCCTGAGTGCTAGTACCAGGGCAGAGAAGATTTGGCATTTCTACAACATTGCAACCCATGTGATTTGGACTAAATGGTTGCTCTCTGGAAGCTCATGTCACCATTCTTAGCCTGCATCCATTTTATTAACATAGAAAAGACACAAATACACACATGCATGTGCACACACACACACATACCCCGATGGACATAAGTAGAATTAAGGACATGGCCTCAGTAGAGTCTAACCTGATTCAGGTTCTGTTTCAGGGACCTCCGGCACTTCAGGTTCCTCAGGTAAGGATCCCCTGGTCTCCTCGGCTACTTCCAGGGCCTCAGACCCTTCCTGAGCTTCAGACTCCTCACCTTCAATCTCCTCTTCAGTCTCTGGATCAGTCTCTTCTAGTTCTAAAAAAAAATTAGGAGAAAAAAATTATTATTCGGTTTAGGTTAACAAATATTTAATTGGATGTCAAGGATTCTGATAAGTGCTGAGGCCAAAACAAAGAATAAGGAATGGCCTTGCCCTCCTGGAGCATGGGGTTTAATGAGGGAGACAGATACAATGGCTACATATTTTATCTATTAAAATGTAGTGGCAAAAGATAATAGTCATGTGCTCGGAGTGCTAGGGGAACATGGGGTTAAGGGTTTTAACAGTAAAAAACTGGAAACAGCCCAGAAGGCCATTCAATAAGGAAATGGCTAGAACTGCACTGATGTGGAGCCATTAGCTATGTGTGGCTGTTGAGCACTTGAGATGTGGCTAATCCAAATTGAGGTGTGCTGCAAATATAAAATACACAATGGATTTCAAAGGCTTAGTATGAAAAACTGAATGCAAAGTACATTCAGAAATTTTTGCACCGATTACATGTTAAAAAATAATCTTCTGTGTATATTAAGTAAAATATAATTAATGTCACTTGTTTCTTTTTGCTTTTATGTAGCTACTAGAAAATTTAAAGTTACATATGTGACTTGCATTAGATTTCTATTGGGCAGCATGAGGCTAGATTTAACGTACACATGACAGATTTTCTTATACCTAATTGCAAATAATGGAATATGTTGATTCGTATGTCAAATGTAAATTTTGAAAGCATAATTCCAAGTTTTATGGAGTTGCATGTAAATCTTTCAGGAAGAAGATGTGGTGAACAGTGTCAGAAAACCTATCTCCTTGGGGCGCCTGGGTGGCTCAGTCGGTTGGGCATCCGACTTCGGCTCAGGTCATGATCTCGTGGTCCGTGAGTTCGAGCCCCACGTCAGGCTCTGTGCTGACAGCTCAGAGCCTGGAGCCTGTTTCAGATTCTGTGTCTCCCTCTCTCTCTGACCCTCCCCCGTTCATGCTGTCTCTCCCTGTCTCAAAAATAAATAAACGTTAAAAATAAAAATTAAAATTAAAAAAAGAAAGAAAACCTATCTCCTCAACTCCTTTTAATATATTCATGAAATTAAAAAACAAGATATTTCTATGCAGATGATACGAGAAAATGAATGAGCCTGTTTTCTGGACTCTTGTGGAAATTTCTTCCTCCACTGATTACCTTCCAAGACTATCTGGTATGAGATACCTCTGGTATCTGAATGTTAATCTAAATCTGGATGATTAAGCACCCAGAGCAAAGCAACCCCAAGTGTTTTTTCTTATAGGTCTGGGTCTGTACCAGGACTACAGTGCATGTGGCTTCCAAGTAGGTGACTTACATTGTGGTGACTCTTTTGTGTTACATAGAGGAATTTATGGTGATGCACACAAGGAAGAAGTAGCGTTTGCGGAATCTGACCAGGGCTTGGCATGACATTATGTGCTGTACGGCCGAAACTCACAATGTCTTTCAACTGAGTATCTTCTTATAGTAAAAAAAATTATCAAATGCCTAACATGCATACATGTAGTTATTTTTAAGTTGAATTCTTTTTTTTTTAAGTTTATTTATTTTTTGGGCGCCTGGGTGGCTCAGTTGGTTAAGTGCCCAGCTTCAGCTCAGGTCATGATCTCACAGTTTATGAGTTCGAGCCCATCAGGTTCTGTGCTGAAAGCTCAGAGCTTGGAGCCTGCTTCAGATTCTGTGTCTCCCTCTCTCTCTCTCTCTCTCTCTCTGCCCTTCCCCTGCTCACTCTCTGTCTCTCTCTCTCCCAAAAATAAATAAATATTAAAAAAAATTATTTATTTTTGAGAGAGAGAGAGAGAGCATGTGCCAGCAGGAGAGGAACAGAGAGAGAGAGTGAGAAAGAGAATACCAAGCAGGCTCTGCACTGTGAGTGCAGAGCACAGTTTGGGGCTCAATCTCACCAACTGCAAGATCATGACCTGAGCCAAAATCAAGAGTTAGATGCTTAACCGACTGAGCCCCCAAGGTACCCCTATAAATTGAATTCTTTTCCATATTAGGTACTTTATAAAATATACAAATGAAGAGTTTATATAATGATGCTGAGAAGTGTAAAAAGTTCTAATACTTTTTCTAGAATTCTAATGGCTAATCTGTGTACCAGATAAGTCAGGAATGGATTGAAAAATGTGTTAAGATCCTTATACTATCTGCGATTTTACTAAGTATGTGTTGTATTAGTTGTCTATTGCTTCATAATAAAGAACTCCAAAATTTAGTGATTAAAACAACAATAACCACATGTTATCCTTGCAGGTCCTGGGGTCGGGATTTTGGGGGTAGCTTGACCGGTGGCTCTGTCTTTGGGTCTCTCATGAGGTCAAATGAAGATGTTGGTCAAGGCTGCAGTCTCTGAAAACCTGTCTGGGGCTGGAGGACTGACTTCTGAGGTGGCCACTCAAAGCCTGAATGAGCTTCCCAGGGAGCAGGGAGAGATCAGCCCTGAGTTAAGTCCTGACCCACAGAAACGTGTACGGAATACAAATGTGGCTCTTTTACAGTTTTGGGGTGGCTTGTTGCCAGCAAAGGAAAACTGAAATAGACACTTTTTACTCTTTTGAATCATGGACCCTTCTGGCAGCCTGATGAAACTTATGGGCCCTCCTTAGAATAATGCTTTCACACCCATAAAATAAAATTCATAAGAATCCAATTATATTGAAATGTAGGTATGAAGATATCAAAATAAATTTTGTGCTGTAGGAAATTTGTGAAATTTACTAATGCATTAAATAACAACAGGTAGCAATTGGTTTAATAACTACCATCATTTTGAAATAGTGATAAGCATAACCAGGATATATAAAACTGTAATGTGACATGAAAGTATTTTTGTTCCTATTGGTGACAAAGTCAAGCTACTACTGATACTATTATGGTTTGTTGCCTATATTAATTACCAGTTGAAGGAAATATTAAATTTCAGATAAAGGTTAGAGAAAATAAAGTTGTAGTTACTTCCCCATTCAAGCTCACAGGCCTCTGAATTTTATCCATGAACCCTAGGCTAAGAGCTTCAGTCTTAAAAGAAACTTTTCGAGTAAATTCTTCTGTAATGGAGATAGAAGTTTAAGTTCAAAGAAAATAGGTATAGCAGGAGATTGGCTGTTTTCTCAACTTCCCCAGGAATCCTTCTACCAGAATTCCAGCAGCCGTGTGTCGTACATGACGAGGCAGCTGTTTTACGACATGCTGCATATGATCCATGTAGAGGGTGCACACGTAGGTATCTGTGTGGGAGCTCTTTTCCTATGACTCCATTACTCTAGTGACCATATAATTTATTATCTAAATTGGAACACTAAGAATGAAAGTGGATCAAATAAATATTTCAATACCACAGGCATAAACCTAGACTCTCATGGGCAAACAGGGATATATGGTCACCTTGTCTGTAATTCACTTGAAATACTGCAGTTTCCTGCAGTAACAATACAAAATTAAATGACACATTATTAGTGATATAAATCTGTGTTTGCCTTTTGCTTTCTCATTCATAGCTTCCAACAGGCTTTGGTTTTCTTGTATTCTCAATGCCTCTTCAGTGGCTTTTCTGAAACGAAAATGTCCAAAATTTAATCATCTTTGGAAATTCAGACATCTCACAATGTTACAGTATTTGAGGCTTATGATGGTAAAAAATAGAGTAAGTTGTGTATAATGTTCATTATACTTTTTTTTTTTTAATTTTTTTTTTTTCAACGTTTATTTTTGGGACAGAGAGAGACAGAGCATGAACGGGGGAGGGGCAGAGAGAGAGGGAGACACAGAATCGGAAACAGGCTCCAGGCTCTGAGCCATCAGCCCAGAGCCCGACGCGGGGCTCGAACTCACGGACCGCGAGATCGTGACCTGGCTGAAGTCGGACGCTTAACCGACTGCGCCACCCAGGCACCCCTGTTCATTATACTTTTTAACTTTACACTGTAAATGTTTACTTTGCTGATATTGAAGTCAGTTAATTTTCCAGGTTTTTTTTCCCCCCAGTTTTTTTCTTTTTTTTTTTTTGGTAAGGAAAGTTGCAATGTTACACTTAAAAAAACTTTGGCTGTTAATTGGGAAATTTGTCAAAATTAATAAAGGATTGTCTCACTCCAATTTGAAAAGGTAAATGGGAGAAGTTGGACCATTTTCCCTTCGGATTAAGTGGAAAATGTTCACAAAATAATATTAAGTGACAAAAAAGCATAATATAAAACTATGTATAATCTAATTTTAATTTTGTACTTAAAATTTATATAAATCATGATCAAAAGATTAGAAGAAAACTAGTCAAACTGTTCACAGTAATTATCTCTGGATGCTGGCATTATGAGATTTTTTTCTTTTACTTATCATTTTTTGCATTTAAAAATTTTCTAGGGGCGCCTGGGTGGCTCAGTCAGTTAAGTGTCCGACTTCGGCTCAGGTCATGATCTCACGGTTCGTAAGTTTGAGGGCCGTGTCGGGCTCTGTGCTGACAGCTCAGAGCCTGGAGCCTGCTTCCGATTCTGTGTCTCCCCCTCTCTCTCTACCCCTCCCCTGCTTGTGTGCTGTCTCTCTCTCTCTCTCTCTCTCTCTCTCAAAGGTGAATAAACATTTAAAAAATGATAATAAAATAAAATAAAAATTTTCTATATTGAATAGATAATTATCTTTGTAATCAGAAAAATTATTTCCTTATTTCCATTCAACACAGTAATAATGAAATTTGGAGACTTGAAATATAAAAATATAAATATCTGGAGGGAATCTGTTTTTCACTAGGGTTGAAGCACTAAGCCTGCCTTCATGATGAAGACAGGTATAAGGAAAGCTAGTAAAGTGATGAAGTAAAGCAATACTTGTTAAAATTAAAATTTGTATACCTTTGACCTAAAATTCTATATCTAGGAATTAACTCTCGAGAATTGACATACTACTGTACAAAGACACATGAATAAGAATGTCGATTGCGTTTAAAAAAAAAAAATTGTATCAAGTATTCACCAACAAGGGATGAATTAAGTAGAGCCTATTCATACTGGTTGCCCACGCTGGGGCAGTTTTTCTGACTGTTCTGTAAATCTGTCCTTCTCCATATTCAGTGTTCTTTGCATCCTTTTCTCCATCTTGTGAAAGTCTAATTATTTCTATTCTTTTCAAAAGACACTGCTATACTTCTTTTGCCAACAGATGTATTTCTTGTTACTAGGGAATGTTCTCTCATTTAGGTATTCTAAATCCTGCAATCTCGCCTGCAGTCGTGGTGTAATTCGAGTTCTCTTTGTTCATGACCCGGACCTCTGAGACTCCTGGATATTCTTTCTTCACCCCTTCCCCATTTGACTGCGTGCCCATCAGCAGTCATCCTGTTTATTTCAGGCAGGGCTCTTTTGTGAACCTTTCCTTGTCCACAGCCTAAATATAGTAAGCCACTGCTAAGAATCTAAGACTTGACAAGAATGAGGAAGAATTTTGCTGTCAGTTGTTAGTCACTTCTACAAAACCACTTGGATAAATGAGTCAAAGACAAAATGGAAGGACAGAAATTATCTTGGACTTGACTGGCACATCTGTAAACTGCTGCTATAAAAGCTGCAGAATTCGGGGAGCCTGGGTGGCACAGTCGGTTAAGCGTCCGACTTCAGCCAGGTCTTGCGATCACCTCATGGGTCTGTGAGTTCGAGCCCTGTCGGGCTCTGGGCTGATGGCTCAGAGCCTGAGCCTGTTTCATTCTGTGTCTCCCTCTCTCTGCCTCCCCGTTCATGCTCTGTCTCTCTCTGTCCCAAAATAAATAAACGTTGGGAAAAAAAAAATTAAAAAAAAAAAAAAAAGGCTGCAGAATTCAGTGTGTCTGTAGATATTTGGCCCAAGTTGTAATTTTTAATCCTGTTAATTTTATCTCCTTTCCAACTGAGATGCAAGGCCGGTAAATTACTTTTCTTTTTTCTTTTTAACAGTTTTAAATTTCATTCTCTCCAGCATATGAAAAAATGTTTGTTTAAAAATACTCATGTTGAATTTTTAAAATATAGAAATTAGAAAATATACAGAACATATAAAGATGCAGAAAAGCTTGTTTCAATCTGGGCAAATCTTTCCCTGTAAGAAGTTTACAAAGATGTGACAATTTGGAATCAAAAGAGGTAACAATTGATTATAGAGACAGCTCACAGAGTTCCATAGGATAAAAGGGAAATGAAGGTAGAGTAGGGAGAAAGTGGAGTTCTCTTTTCCTTTTTTAAAAAAATGATACATGTGGGGCGCCTGGGTGGCTTAGTCAGTCAAGTGTCCCGACTCCTGGTTTTGGCTCAGGCATAATCTCAAGGTTGTGGGATCAAGCCCCGCGTTGAGCTCTATACTGACAGAGTGGAACCTGCTTGGGATTCTCTCTCTCCTCCCTCTGTTCCCCCTGCTATGCATGCACTCTCTCCCTCCCTCTCTCTCACTCTCTCTCTTTCAAAAAAAAGATACATGTATATGTAGTATGTATTCTAAATTATCTCCTTAAAATGTTGCAGACCTTCAGTCTAAAAACCACATGAACTTTGTTTTACTCTTGTGTTAATAGCTTCATCTGTTCTCAAATATTTCCATTTCTCATACACTGGGAAAAAATTAGGTAATCCCTTAAACCTTAGCAGATGGTAGCTCCATTTATAAGAAAACTTATAAAAGTTGAAAGCAAATGTAATACATTTGTAATTATTGTCTGAATCAATATCTTGTACTCAATATATCAAACACTTTTATTAAATAACCTAACTAAATTATACTTCATATATTTTGGTATTGAGTTCTTAAAGGAATGGCTTAGATGAAGAGTAAACACTGAAAAAAAAATCCCTCTGACATACACTTATCAGTTATCTGCCTCCCCTGCCCCTCATTATGTGTCTCCCAGCTTCATAATTTCTAGAGTTCAAAGAGGTTCCCCAAATCCCAGCTCTAACTGCTGATATCTGAGGGGAAAAGGAAATAGCATTCGAGAAAGCTCCTGTCTATAGGTGTTGTCCTTAACGGCAGGAGCTTTGGTGGATTAGCATAAAGAAATTTAATTCTTACATTATCACTTTGAGAAGCAGGAATCCCAGTGGATGAATTACAATCTAAAGCACGTTTCAGCAAGAAAGAACAATTAGCAAATTAAGTCACTGCTTCTTTTCATATTTTATTCTCCAATCTGAAGAACCTGATAGTTTATTAAAGTTTAGTTCTTGACCCTGCCATGGACAAATAGATAGGTGCTCACATTTGTAAAAGCTCTTCATTGCACCAAGACTGGAAAATAAACTTTGATGTTGAGCCTGCCAACTATAAATAATTAGTCTTGTTTTCTCCTTATGTAGAACATAGTCAGGGTTCAGATTTTAGTTATTTCACACAAGTGTACTTTCATTTACTTTTTATCATGTTATTCTTCAATTTGTGGATACTAGTCAGCGAAATTATTTAAGCCACAGACAAATATGGTAAAAAAAAGTCTTGCTTGTGCTCAGTTTTTTTTACAGTGTCTTTTGAGAGTCAACATCTGATCTAGAGTAAGTTTGATTTCGGGCTGAGAAAACATGCCCAACTCGGTACTTTAGAGAATCTGAAAGTATTTGTAAAACTACTGTTTGTTTTGTTTTGTTTTTTAAGAATTGGATCTACTTAGTGGACCACTGTTTTGTTATTAAAGATATTTCATAAATGTAGCTTGTAAATAGATATAAAAGATTCGTTAACTTGTCTTATTAAGCCAGGCAGATTTTACCTTGCTTCTTCTTCCTCTTTTTTTTTCTTTTGTAGTTCATCTAATAATCTTTCCAAAATCTTAGAGTCAATTTCAGGTTTATTCTCTAAATACAGTCTATTCAGTAAATATTTTCCTGAAATATAAAGAGAATAACATTAACTTTGAAGCTCTATAAAATACAGTGAGATATATTTTGGAAATTAACAATGAAAAAGTATTTCTGCCTAAATCCAAATACATTTTCCTTTAAGCATTTATCTAAGTAGAGCCCAGGTTCTTTAAAATACTGAGACCATCTCAAATCCTTTCTAAGAGATATATATTGGCATGTTAAAAATAATTAAAACATGAAAAGAGATAATATATTTCCCCCCCTTGAAACTCTTTTCAAATATATTTCCTTAAAAGGCAAGATGACAGAATATTCTTAGCCCCCATGTCAAAAATTAGTTAACCATATGTGTAGGGGTGTATTTCTGGGCTCTTTATTCTAGGGGTCAGTTTTTATGCCAGTACCACACTTCTTTGATTATTATAGCTTTGTCCAAAGGGATGGAATAGTTAAAATTGAGTTCTTCTATCTTTATATACTTAATATTTCCCATTTGAGGTGAATAAGAACAGGTATATAGTCTCTACTCTCAGCCTTATATATTTCTCATTTAGAAGTTATAGTGCTGACTGGGAATGGGGTGTTAAACTGAGCACCGAAGAATAATTGTTCGGGCCTGATGGAACATCCAGGGATCCAGCACGCTATCCCTGGCCATCTACTTGGTGAATGGATGTCTCATTTTGTGTACCTCTAAGTCACGAAGGGATTGTTGGGGTGGAATATGTACCTAGGGAGAGTGGAGAGTTTTCCATTTTGTATTGTAACTAAACATATTATCATCAAGAAAAACTTCACTTTCAAATTACATGATGAATATATACCAACCATTGTTTTCTGTATCTGATAAGCAGATTACTAAGTCAGGTATAATTCCTTTCTCGACTAAGACTATCCACAGTTCTTTTATAATAGGGCAGTTGTCCAGGATCCATCCTCCATGTTTTGGGGTGCTAGAAGACCTATTTGTGTTTTCTTCAACAGCCTGTTAAGAATGACACACTGGTATTACCATCACAGCCACAGAAGTCAAGGATACTCTTTGATGTATCATTTTTGTGGACCTTAACCAATTATCTTTCAAATTCTCACTGGAAAGAAAAAAAAAGAATCAGTTTATTTTAAAAGGGAAAATTCTAAGGAAATCAACTAAGTTTTAAAAATTAAGAATGGGAAGCAAAAGCCTTTATTAAATACATAGAACAATACATTTTTGCTATATGCTATTCAGTATTATATATATATATATATATATGTATATTTTTAGAGAGAGAGAGAGCATGTGCGTGCACACGTACATGAGTGGTAGAGGGGCAGAGAGAGAGAGAGAATCTCAAGCAGGTTCCACGCTCTGCATGGAGCTCAATGTGGGGCTCAATCCCACAACCCAGGGAACATGACCTGAGCCAAAATCAAGAGTCAAGTGCTCAACTGATAGAGTCACCCAGGCACCCCTGTTATTTAGTATTATAGAATTCAGATCCTGACTTAGGAGGTTTTAGGTACCAAGGGTCCATGAGTCTGCATTTCTAACATGCTCCCAGGTGACAGTTGTCCCTGGGCCACCTTTTGAGTAGCAAGGGCCCAGTCCAGCTTGCCTGTTTTAGTGACAACACTCTTCATTTCCCTTTTGCTTTTCATCCCTCATTGTGAGAGCTGAGAATGTACTGAGATGGTTGCTAAAAGCAGTAAGAGGAATCGGGGCAAAACAAAACTTGCAGGTGCTTAGGGAGTTCTGCTAAACTCTGCCCCCAACCCTCCTCCCTCAGTGCAGTAGCAACAGCCTCAACACGAGCATGGAAATTAGTGATGTGGATCTGTGAATACACCTACTCTGAGGGTTTCAAGTTTGTGTGTCACCAGGTAATCATAGGATGTTAGAAGTGAAAGGGGAAGAGATGTCACGAGGATGGGTATGACTCCCTGGCCTCTGCAGAATTTAAGATTACCTACTTTTCGAATCTCCATCTCAGTGAAGAGTCTTTTAAAAAAAGAATTTTAAACACTTTGAAATTCTTAACATAGAGAATTAGAGAAAAAGAGAAAGCTATAAAAAAGAAGTATAAATGAAAATAAGTCAGACAGAGAACGACAAATACTATACAATCTCACTTATATGTAGAATCTAAAAAGATGAACTCATAGAAACAGGAAACAGATATGTGGTGGCCAGAGGCAGGGGTGGGGGTGGGGGAATGAGTGTAGGGGATCAAAGGTACAAATGTACCGTTATAAGATGAATAAGTCCTGGGGATGTAATATTCAGCATGGTCTGACTATAGTTTACAACACTATATTGTATATTTTAAAGTTGCTAAGAGAGTCAATCTTAGAAGTTCTCACCACACACACACACACACACACACACACACACAAACTAAGTGTGTGAAGTGATGGGTGTTAGCTAAAATTATTGTGGTAAACATTTTGCAATATATACATAAACCATATCCTGATGTTATACACCTTAAACTAATACAGTGCTATATGTCAAATACAACTCAATAGGGGTGCCTGGGAGGCTCAGTCAGTTGAGCGTCTGGCTTCAGCTCAGGTCATGATCTCACAGTTTGTGAGTGCGAAACCGGTGTTGGGCTCTGTGCTGTCAGCTCAGAGCCTGGAGCCTGCTTTAGATTCTGTGTCTCCTTCTCTCTCTGCTCCTCTCCTGCTTACATTCTGTCTCTTTCTCCCTCAAAGATAAATAAACATTAAAAAAAAATTTAAAAAGAAACAAAAAGAACTCAGTAAAACTGAAAAAAAAGAAATATAAATGGTTAATGAAAAAAATTATTTTTGTTTTTATTTTTGAGAGAGAGAGAGAGAGAGAGAGAGAGCAAGCATGTGAGAGAGAGTGGGGGAGGGGCTGAGAGAGAGAGAATCCCAAGCAGGCTCTGCACCGTCAGTGTGAAGCCTGATGCTGGCTTGAACTCATGAACTGTGAGATCATGAGCAGAGCTGTAATCAAGAGCTGGATGCTCAACTGACTGAGTCACCCAGGTGCCCCAATGGGTAATGAAAATTTTACTGTCCAGTTTCAAGATATGAAAATTAAAGCAACACCGAGATGCAATTTATAATTTCTCCATCTCACTCAATGGATTTGAAAAATTTAATACCTTCATAATATATATTTTTTTATTTTGGAGAGAGAATGAGCACACGGGCAAGGGTGAGGGGCAGCGAGAGAGAGTGAGAGAGAGAGAATCTCAAGCAGGCTCCACACTCAGCATGGAACTCAACGCAGGGCTCAAACTCCCGAACCATGAGATCATCCCCTGAGCTGACATCGAGAGTCGGATGCTCAAACGACAGAACCACCCAGGCACCACCCTTCATAGTATTTTATCAAATGAATAGATCTTATTTTGTTTAATTATTCTCTTACTGTTAAATGTTTACATCACTTACAATTTTAATATAACACTGTGATGAACATCTGTATATATAAATCCTTGCCCAAATGTTATGTATTTCTTCAGGTCAGATTCCTTAGGTCAAAAGGCATAAAAGAATGAACATTTTAAAGGCTTTTCACACACACCGACACATTGCTTCCAAAACATCTGTAACAATTTTCACTCTCCCTACGTGACTATCTCATCATAGCCTCACTAGTATAGATTATTATGCATTTTTAAAAATCTTTGGCAATTTGACAGGTAAGAATCTGTATCCCACAGTTTTAAGTTTCATATTTTTTATCAAAATTTGAACATGAAAATTTTCAATGAACCATTTGCATTTCTTCTTTGATGAAATAATCTGTTTATACCTTTTGCCTGCTTTTATATTAGGGTACTCTATTTTCCTTGATTTTGTGAGAAATATTTATATTAGGGAATTAATATGTCATTATTTATTATAAATGCTTGCCCTAGTTTGATCTTTGTCCTAAAATTATGATTCTCATGTTTGTTTGTTTTTCTTCATAGAGAGAATCACTATTAAATAGCCTCTTTGTTGAGATTTTGCTTGAAGAGTTTTCCCACTGTGTTTGCGCAGGTCCAAATGTGGAAGTTATATTTCTGACTTGACCTCAAGTGACTCTAAGGGAAGAGAGAAGTGAAACATTATGGGCACATGACACTGCTTCAGGAAAGGAAGTCACTGAAACAGGGCAGGGGGAAGGTGCTGCTGTTGCTGAAGTGGCACAAGGCACTCGGGCCTGGACATTTCAAAGCTGAGGGGAGGAAAGTTTCAGGAGGCAAGGACCTGGGTGCCTGAGGATACACGTTTTGGATGTATAGGTAAAACAGCTTCGGTGTAGGAATCTGTTGAGGGAGATTCCCCAGTTGAGATCACTGTGGAGAGAAGGGGGAACCCGCCTTAGGATTTCATATCTGAAAGAACTCCTGAGTGTGTGGCCCAGCAGAGTGAAGGCGGGACTCTGAGCCTGGAGACTGCGCCTTGCAGGGCAAGTGGTAGGGAAGGGGCCCTTTGTGCTTGGTCTGTGTCTGGCCCCGCTGTCACCAGAGTCATGGAAGTGGGCTCTCAGGTGTCTGAGCGCTGAAAATAGTGTCACTCTCTTTGGACATCCTCAGGGAAGGGGTGAGTGAGAGAAAGTAATATTTAGAAAAATGATGTAACATTTAAATGCACTATTCATCTTTCTATCCTTTTGTGATTTTAACTTAATAAATTTTTCCCTGGGGGCGCCTGGGTGGCTTGGTCGGTTAAGCGTCCGACTTCGGCTCAGGTCATGATCTCACGGTCCGTGAGTTCGAGCCCCGCGTGGGGCTCTGTGCTGACAGCTCAGAGCCTGGAGCCTGTTTCAGATTCTGTGTCTCCCTCTCTCTCTGCTCCTCCCCTGTTCATGCTGGGTGTCTCTCTGTCTCAAAAATAAATAAACGTTAAAAAAATTAAAAAAAAATTTTTTTCCCTGTATTTAATGCTGTTTTAGATTCCCTTATTCTATGTTATTTCATGTTTACTTTTAATCACTTGTGAATATATATATATTATATACACATACATATATGTTTCTCGCTTGTATAAACAAATATTTATCACTGTGAAAAATATCTAGAGAGAGAGAGAGAGATTGAGAGAAGGGACTGGGAGAATCAGAGGAAGCAGGACATGACACAGAGAGACAAGGGAGGCCCAGAAAAACATAATGACCATGTGACGAACACAGGTACAAGGGCAGAAATGGAGATGTTTTAGAACAATAGCTGTGTGACCATGGAAGCAGAGCAAAACTGATGTATCACATAGAGAAGACTACAGTGACTAAAGAAATAGGTTGTGGATATGATACGCAGCAAGATTAAGTCATGGGCTGAACAACATACAGCAGCAGGTTTGACGCAAAAGCCCCACTTCCCTTGACGTTGTTCTCGAGACATTTTTCTGCTAGGTACTGGGCAAATACCTTTGGTATAGTCTGTGTAACAGCTTCAGTTATCACAAGTGTGCAGAGCGATAGGAGCAGAAAAAAGTTCCCAGTGTCCCCCAGCCTCTGTTGTTGTGTGCTCTGTAGCCAGTCAAGACAGAAACCAGGGAAAAGTGCAAATGATTTAGCATGGAATAAACTTCTGTGCATTCGCCATTGCAAGGGGGTGACTCTTATTTCCCTTTGGTAGAAATGATACCTATCATTATTTCTGTATTTTTAAGACTTTAAAATACTGTTAAACTATAACTCTAAAAGATTCTAAAAATACCGAGATACAGATGTGGTTTCAGAAGCCTCCTTAACTCATCACTCTAGGGAGCCATGCCTAACTGTTCCATTTGCAAATGAAATAAAACCTATTCCCTTTTCCTGGACTGGATCATCCGTTAGGCCCAAGTGCACCTGTTCTGCACATGGGCTGTGAGCTTCAGATAAGAAAGTGAAATTAGTGGGAAGCAAAATGGGAAAACAGGATACAAAAATGATTGCAGGAACAATTGGAAAATAAAATACAACCACGACGGTATCTAAAATAGCATCAAAATACATTAAATACCTAAGAATAAACCTAATGAGAGATACTGAAG